AATTTATACTAAGAAAAACCAAATAAGGCATTTACACTTTACCTTACGTCGAATCGTAAATATCCATACGCCAGCAGATTTGCGTTGTCTCTTAAACGATCAGGATTTCTTTCTGCCGAGGTTATTGAAAAAAAAAATTAAATTTCCGCAAATTGTTTTCGCCGCTGGAATGCTGGAACCGTATTTGCTCCAGAGGTTGCACAATCGCTTACCGAAATGTCGTGCTTTTAAATTTGATTTCTTGCATTTTAGCGTTTCATTCATCGTAAGGTTTCGTCGATGTTTATGCTCGCAAGTAATGGCAACGACCAGCAAAGCCATATGTAAATACGTAAGGAGCTCCATAATCTTCTAATTTTACCCGGACCATATACAAGTTCACTTCATGCGACCTCTAATGCATATTTTTGTACGTAACTAACGCTATCAACAAATTAGTAGGGACAGACTTGTGAGTATAATATACACATATGAATGTACATATATATATATGTATATATGCATGGATTTGTATGCATAGACATACGTATGCATAGTTCTTAAATATTATGGTAAGCAATAAAGAAATGGAAGAGAGTGCAAGAAGAATGTACAAATACCGGCATTCACATATGCACGAAAAAAAAAAAAAGAAAAGAAAACAGAATATATTTTTATAGTTTACAGTGGCCGACAATTGTTGTGCTTTTCGTCCGCTTTCGGTTCGGTAAATCCTTTGGCCTTATTGCGAGTCCTTTTTAAGCGAACAAAAACGTGTTGGAAGAGTAATAGTTGAGCTTAAAGGGTTTGCCGACACACTAAATGTTAAAGAAATTACAAATGAAATAAAAAAAAAACAAGACGAAAAATATTTAAATTGTTTTCAGCCATGAAAGTATGAAAGTGTTGTTGAGTTCGCAGGGCGGTGGTACTCTGTAAGATATTTTGAAGGCATAAATTAGAAAGGAACGATAACTGGAAAGCCATTGAAAAAACATACTTCAGAAAATTTTAAATGAATTCAATATCCATGCGGTTTATACAGTAACGGTACAGTGAATAAAATCCAATCAATATGATTAGAGTCGCGTTTTCAAAAACAAAAAAAAGAGAGAGAGAGAGAGAGGAAGAAAAGGGAGAGCTCGTCATCGGTTCATTTCATGTTTTCTTTCTTTCGTTTTTTTTTTTTTTATTTTCACTTTTCTCACTTAACCGTAACAAAAAATTGAAATTTATTGAATTTACAGTTTTCCGCTTAACCGAATCCTAATCTTTAAACAGTTAGTTCCATGAGCTAAATTCGTTACATATATATATATATATATATATATATATATATATGTATGCGCACGTACACATACATCATTTATATGTAATATATAGAAAATATAAAACAGCTGAAATGATATAAACCTTTCTACCCTCGTCGACTATATTTTACTTATTTCCAAACAAATGTATGTATATAGGTGTATGCATGGGATATGTATTCATTAAAAAGCAGCTTAAGCGGCGAACATATACATTTTAAATTTGTTTAATTTCACTACCGATATACTAACTTTGGCATTTTATTTGCAGCAGCAAACAATACGTGCCCAAGGATATGCAAAATGCATAAAGTATTAAAGACTCAATTAGTGCAATATTCTGGATCTGTCAAGCGAGCGTTAAAACTCGCTGCTACATAAACGAACAGATTTGGTGTAAATTTCACATTTAAGCCCTTTTCTTTTATAAGCTTTGCCTATCTAACTCGATTTCATGTAAGCGCGAAAACATCGACTCGATATTTCGGCTTCTTCCGTATATTCAATTACGGTGAAATTTTGCACACACCTTTAATTCCGATGACAATGCGGCGTGGTACAGTCAGTACAGTTCTATATATTGACATGGGCGAGCTGTCATTTAACTTTAGACACAATGGACGCTAGAAAGTAACGGCATGTCTTCTTCTTAACAGTCGCCTTGATAGGAATGTGAAGTAAATGGGACTTGGAGAATGAATTGCGACAAATCGCATTTGTTAATTCTATGTTAAACACCGCAAATTAAAAAAGGGAGAAAGAAGAAGAAGAACCAAAAGTTATATCAAAGAAAATAAATAAAAAATCGATTCACATGGCTGTAGACGCAGCTAACTTTGATTTAACTGAAGCAATACCATCATCAGCATCAATCGGACTGGAGGTCCACCTTAAAAATGCGATACATCTGAATGAGCTCACATCGTAACTGGTGGTATCGATTTTATAAAAGGCATTCTTTCTCTCTCCACGTTTATGATCGATTATGTGAGAAACAAATTCAAGCCGTCAAAAATAAGTTACGGTATTGTTAAAAGCAAAATGGCTACCATAATGTGCTATCGTGGGCTTCTATTGTGCAGAAGATGGAAAAAATTACGATAAATCATGACGTAATGTATCCAAGACCCAAGAGCGTTGGAAAGCTTGCAAGAAGAAAAAATGGACGGTACAAAGTTAACCGGGAAGAAGTCTTCTAACAATGAAAGCCATTTCTTTTTTGACACTAGACATACGACAGCCGTCAATTTGACCAGTTTGTGATTTCAAGCTTAAAAATTTCGCATAAAGAAGCAGATATCTTTGAACGTTACATGTGGGCTTTTATTGAATTAGTATATATGTATAGTATATATATATATATATATATAGAACTGCCATCTTCACTATGGCTAGAGTTGCCATTTCCACTTTTACGAAAAGAGGCCAATTTAATCGGTATCTTTTGTTAAACGTGAGAGTTGTCAAAACGATACGAAGATAGAAAGATGAAATTTTGCACAAGCATCCCTTCAAAATAGGAGCTATATGCTCGCGTATACGCCCACGATGCGGAAGAAACTGAAATAACCTCGTAAAAGACCGAAATCTTTCTCAACATTTTTCTTTTATAACCTTCGATCCCGTGAACATATGTTTTGGAAAGCTCTTATCCAAATATCCGCCAGAACCATCTGCATTCTCGACGCAAAATTATTCCAATTGATTTACTAACATGTCCACGACTAATGACATAACTAAAGTTCGGAATGCTTGTGTTAGATTTCAGCTTTCTATCTTCAACTTTGCGACTGTGAAAATTCATAAAAATGACGCGTGAATATAACGGACCTACTTACGTAAATCTAGATTTTATTGAAAGGGAGAAGAAGCTCATTGCAAAGTTTTTGGTAATATTTTTTCTACGACTAGTAAACACTTGGGACCTTTCGTACTATGTGGAAAGTTATTGATTACCTAAACGAAAGTGTGTCGAGCTTTCCCGTAAGCATTGCGAAAGACATTCCGGGTCAAACGTATCTCTGTTGCGAAATTATATTTTAATATCTCGGCCGTTAATTTCTCACAGATACCCTTAGAAAGTTTTCCAAATAAAAATATATTAGTGCAGCTTCATCAAGTGCAGCTTCAGCAGAAGTTACTTATGACCCGACTCAAATACATACTTGACCAACAATAATAAAATTACTTTAGATCAAGTTGTGGGGCGATTTGTGCAAATCTGTAGGAAATTTGATGCTTAAATCTCCTTTTCAACCCTTGCAACCTTTTCAGTTTTTCGATGCTCTTAGTGTAAGGGAAGTGCTATATATTATGAAAGCATGAATTTTAGGTAGTTTCGAGAGTCTTCCGCTTTAATCGTAAGCGGTATTTGCCGTAAAGTTTTTCTGTTCACCAATTTTTTCGAAATATTCATATGTTGAACATTTATTTGATTTTTATTTATTAATTTTTTTTTCATTTCATGTAATGAAATATAATAAGAACTAATTGATGTTTTTAGTTTAGATTTAAGTTGAGACGAGAAAGAAAAAATGAAAATGTTGTTAAATGAATATATAGAGTACGTAAGAAGAAAACATTTAGTTACTTAAGTTAGCCATTCATCTATGTATGCATACGTTTGCTTTTTCATATATATAATAATACAAGATATCCATCCATACGCTAAGGCGGATAAGTACACAATCCATATGACAAGTAAAGCTTGATTGTCGTAAGTAAAAGTTTTTACAAACTTGCGAAAATATTTTAGTATACTTAGAGAACAACAATAACAACAATAATAACAAACAGCAACAATAACAACAACAACAATAATAATAATAATAGCAATAATAGCAACAACAATAATAATAGAAACAACAACAACAACAATAACAGCAACAATAACAGCAACAATAACAAAAACAATTTTAACAATAACAATAACAGTAACCAACAGCAATAATAACACGACTGTACTTTAAGGAACAAAACTTTCTTAATATATTTCCGGAAATTTGTTATTTTCTTTTTCATATTACACGCATACATATATATCATACAAATACATATATACTATACATTTAAAGTTACATTTACGCAAACACTTAAGCACACATGTTAAACTTATTTACTAGAAAAAGATTTCTTTATATCGTAGTAAATAAAATGAATTTAAGGTTAAGGAATAGGGGCGAAAGATGAACAGAGAGATAGAGGCGGGTGAGGTTGCATTTTTCTTGTTATCTCGCTGTTTCGCTTTCGTTCTATCAATTTACTGTTTAAAAAGTTCCTCACTTTTTCTCAAATGTGCGAATATGAACGAACACCAATAGCACAAATGGCAGAATAGCAGCAATAACAACAACAATAATCAGTAGAAATCTTTATTTACTATTAAATTCATTTTTAAAACTCTTTATTGCCGCCATAGTAAGATGTGAAAACAAATCATTATTGGAAATTTTTTCTTAGATTCGAAAGCCAGAGCGATAAGTAAGTAAGACGGATAAGAGCAAGAAAAAGGCTTCACCTTAGGATTCGTTAAGTACGCAATGAATCGCATGAAATTGAAACGAACGAGACCATCTCTGTATTTAAACAGAAATTCGATAATTAACAATTCGAATAATTAGCTGTAATTCTTAGCAACAATAGCAACAACAATAGCAACAACATAACAAATTAAAATGTGAAATGGCTGATTGGGTCGATGCGCTTGCTAGCTGGCAGCTACAATCACTCAATCAATTTATACTTTTTCAATCGGTCAAATCTACTTACTGTGTGTTTGAATAATTCGTGCAGATTTATCTTATCTATTGTTTGTCTCGGTCATTGTATGGTCATTGCGTTAGCTGGCGGCACTTTCTCTCAATCGTTTGCAATTAAAGTGTCGAATTATTTTCATATTGTTCTTCAATAGAATTTTCTTATTTAATACAAAAAAAAAAAAGAAAAAAAAAATTTGAGGAGCGTCTTTAAGCCTTAACCAAAATGATGCTGTTCGATATTAAAATGTGCCGTTTCGATAACGCGCCCTGGGGCTTTCGTTTGGTCGGTGGTTCGGATTTCGAATTTCCACTTACCGTGATTAAGGTTAGTTTTTATACATATGTACAAATGTACGTACGTACGTGTATGAAAAATGAAACAAATGAATGATTGATTGAATGGTTGTTTCTTTTTTTTTTTTTTTTTTGCGTATATAGTCTGCGATAATAATATTGAAAATGTTTCTTAAAGTTGTTAACATTCGATATGCAAATGCTCCTCTGTCCTATAACTCCAGTAATGGAAAAAAGTGAAAAAAAAAAAAAACTAGCTTTGTTTTGTCGTCGTTCGCTAAGTGCCTCCACATACATAGAAACGGTTAATACGCGCAAATTCTTAAAACATCCTCGTCAATTGCTTAGAGAATGGATAAATTGTATGAAATGCATTTTCAGTGTTATGTAATTGACAATCGGTAGGAAAAAAATAAAGAAAATTCAATTGTGAATATTTTTATTTTTTCTCTTCATTTTCTTGTTATTTCTGTTATTGTCATTGTTGTCATTGCTGGTGCATTGCTGTTATTGTTGTTGTTGTTGTTATTGTTATTGTTGCTAACATTTTTGTTGTTCTTCTTGCAATTTATTTATTTATTTATTTTTTTTTTTTAAATTTTATGCGCTTCTCAATTTTGCTTCCTGTGCATTTATAGCTTTTCATCTTATAGAAATAAGGAAATGTATTTCATTTTCTCAGTTTATGCTGCATTGTGTGTTTGCCTCTTTGTACGTTTACGTTAACAGTATGAATAACTGTGCTTGCTATAACTAACTTCAAGTGCAATGTATTGAAGAACACGAAACAATTTCATTGAATTCGATTGTTAAAAGTTCAACTCCAACTGCGGGCGTATCTTCCAATCTTCCTACATTCGTAACAACTGCTTCCCAATTTAACATAGGACATATGCATTTATGCATATACGAAAAGTTAATTTTCAATCAATAATAAAATTTAAATGTATTTAGTATAAATAGAAGCATTTAAAGGACTTCATGTAAATAACAAACAAATAAAAAAATTATCTATCCGATATTCGGCGAATCTTTGATAGCCTACCTACTCGCGAAAAGTATACAAAAACAAGGAAATACGAAATTTTCGCCTAATCGATCGTTTATCACTTGTTCGGTCGAAACTGCTTTGAGAGAGAATTTTCAAATAAATCGCATACATATTTACATCAAAGAAATAAAAATGTTGTAGTCACGCACTCATTGAATACGCTTGCCTAATACAAATTGTCGCTTTTATCTTTTCATCATAATATACCAAAAACTATACTTTACTGCCGTGCCACGGCTTATATATCATTAGAATTCTTATAAGGGAAACGGACCGAATAATATACCTGTGCGGCCCAACTTCACAAGATCAAACTCATATATATTAAACTACTTTTCGCGAACGAGTTAGATAATCGTAAAGCCGAGTAGATAAGAATCGCGACTACCAAGTGGGTGGTTGCGTCTTCAAATCTGATCGCAATAGGTCATACTTTGTCGCAGCCATAGTGACTGCTTACGTCGGTAAAGACATAACCCTTTTGCCGACCAGGCGCACCCAAACTGAACGGCGACCACACATTATCCCTTTCCCCTTCCCCACTCCTCTGTGACTATCGACGTGTTGCACCTATAGGAGACATCCCCCGGGGTGAACAGTCATATTGAAGAAAAGAAAAAAAAAAAGTTGCATCATAAAATGTTAAAAATAATACTTCTTTTGTAGGAACATTTAGGAGGGAGTAGGGAGGAGGGATATTAAAATATCGTCCTATTCCAAGCAAATGTTTCACAACGGGTTTTTAAAAACCCCTGTAGTGCATAGCAAATGATCATAAAAATGGAGTAATGTTGGAGTACAATTTGTTAATGTACCGGCGTGACCTGTAGGCTAAATGGAGACAGTTGCGAGTTTGAGGCGGTCCAGCTTGCTTAAACAGATTTGTAAATCAATTCTGGATTGAATCGTAGCTCCATCTGCCTGAAGTCTTATGGGATATTGCGTACATCCGCACCAAGTCTAGAATGTCATTTCGCATTGACCTTTGCCTTCAAATATCTCTTATAAAAGAATGAATTAATAAAAATTGTAGAAGAAATTTTTAAAGCTTAGGAATAAGAAATAGAAACTTGATGACTGAATGGTTGAATGATTGAAAATTTGCAATACAAAAACCGTGTGCTCGATGGTTCATTTGATTTGTTTTCATACGTTTTGCATTTGGACCGTTGAACGTTTTTGAAGCCTTCTGTTTATTTATTTCTTTTTAAAACTCGTTCATTTCATTTGGGGTACGTGTCTTTTTGTTTCCTGCACTCTCATCAGCAAAAGAAACAAACAATGAAAGTATAGACAATAATAAGATGAAGTGTGACCTTAAAAGGAGCCCAGACGATAAGATCGAGTGCGATTAGGATAGTGTTAAGAGGCGCCAAAGGTATTTGTAGCACATCCCATCAACTCGAACTTATCTTGAATTTCCTCATATTTTGGTTATAAACGCCCCTAGTATTGCGTATGTATTCACGAAAGGCATCAGAATAAGCGATCATCGCCGATATATTCCATCACTTACTCCTTTCGTCGGTTAGATAATATACTGAGCCGCCATGTCTACCCATTGCTGACATTGATTCGTGGACAGTTAGAGAGATTAACTCGACGGGAAGTGACTCGACTAAATTTTATGAAAACAGATGGACGGAATAAATTGTGGTCAGGGTTAAATAAGGTAATAGTTATTGGATCTCCACTTTTGAAGAGTTCCACCTCCCAGAAAAGCCCGAACTGGCTTTATAAAGAGACTTTAAAACATATCTCACCAAAAACATCTATATAGAGGCTTTCCTCTTTTTGGTGAAGGTATGCCCGCGATTTGGGAAGAGGTAGTTAGACGATTCTGCTGTAAATACGAGGCAATTGCAACTTTCACAAAACTATACTATATGCCCGTTTTTAAACTTAATCGACAGACGTACGCCAAGAAAGTGCTTGTCAACCTTCAGCCTTTTTTAATTCACAGAAGTTGTATACAACTGTGACAGGCTGCCCAATATGCATTTTTGGATGCCATAAAATTATTAAACCTTCATTTTTCGGTAAGAATGATGAGAAACCCTGTGCAGGGCTTACATAATACGAAGACGTATCTGAAAAATCAAAATCGATAGTTTGTGACACTTGAAAATCGAGACTTCAATCAAGGCAATCAAGGGTATCTTTACGTTGCATCTAATCGAAGTGTATTTTCAAGAATAGAATGATTGCATAGAACAACTGTCAATTTTATGCATAGTTTTCGTCTATGAATACGATTGAAAAATATCTTCATCGGCCAGCACATCATCACCGACCGACCGCTTAACTAAATTGACTAAATTGTTAAAGAAATTTTATTCTTTTCTTCTCATTCAAGCTAAATCTTAAAGTCTATTCATGCATTCATGGACATCACACACTCGGATGCTCCGTTTCGAAAATAAAATTTCATACAAATTCAATTTTTCAATTTTAATGGCACCGAAAGTGCAAGAAAACAAAACAACAACAACAACAACAACAGCAATGTTCAGAAAATAAAGCAAACAGAAAAAGCACCAAAATCCCACTTATGCGACTTAAATTTTCTAGTTCAATAGTTTAAAATACCAAAACACAAAATGCTAATGTGCTCCTATGCCGATTCTAATATGTTGACGAGATGCTTCTTGCTAAACGCCTCGCGCCATAAAAATGCTCGCTGCATTTTGTTGACGACCCGCTATGTTTATTTTTATCTTTCCGTAAACATATTCTTAGCCATTTAGCACGCGTCGCAATTAATTGTTATTAAATGGTATTCGACACACTAGGGAGAGTACGTTACGTAGGAATCGACCGCAGCGAGTGGCGAACGAAGGCGATAGGGTAAGCCCCACTGCAAATCCTCTTTCAAAATTAAAAAAACCTTACAATTCCCGAAACACGTGAATATCTGTCTGCCTGTTCGCTAGTTTAGCTAACATTTACTGGAATTTAGTTTATTATTATTTGCAGGTTTTTATACCATTTTTTTTTTTTGCTTACGAAATGCATATGAGTTCAATGAACGATGTTTTTAATGAAAACGTCAGAATAGCTTAACGACATTTACTCTTCATTTATTGTTTCTTTTTTGGTTTTTTTTTTTTTTTTTTTTTTTCTTCTTCTTTAAAGGTCAACGAAGGCAGCTTAGCAGAGGAGGCAGGCCTTAGAGCTGGTGATGTAATAGTGCGTATTAATGATACGGCCACTCTTCCACTAACGCATGAAGAGACCGACAAACTCATTAGAAGTTGCGGAAATGTATTCTTTTTGGGAATTTCGAGGCAAGCATAGACAGATGACTTTAAGAAAAAAAAAAAAAAAACTGTTTAAAGCACTTGTAAGCGAATTGCTCTTTAATTTGCCAAATGGTTTTTTCATCGTTTAAAGGGAGGATGAAGTCGAGGAAGTTTTAGAGAATGAAATGCAACTTTCCGCTACGAATGAATATGCAGTGCAGTCGGAAGCAAAATCATTACTTGAAGTGCCTGACGTGATCGCAACTGTCCACCATGAATCGGATAATGAATATTTGTCTGAACAGGACGATAGACCGTGCTCCGCACTATCGGAGGATACTGAACGTAAAATGGTGGAAGAAGAGATTGCTGCGGTTTTATCGGGGGAGACGCAAATGCTTTCCGATCACAATGTGATGGGGTTCGTAGATCGATTATTGCAAGCATGTGTTACGCATGAATACTTTAAAAATGCTTTTACTATTTTACGTTTGATCTTTTGACTGTTAGAGTTAATTTCTATAGGCTGTTCCCCAAACCAGGCGTGTGCCTGGCAAGCGATGTCTTACGCACTCTTAACGAGGAGGCTACCAAAACAAAGGCCGAAAAAGACAAAGAAAATCGTAAGTGGACGACGTTCCTGCAGAAGCCCAATAGACCCATACCAAAAAGCAAGGAACAAATTGAAGCGGAACGGCGGGCTGCTAACGCTTACAAAGTAACAATTGTTAAATCGGCACCAAGAAGCCGCTCGGTGACACCACAGCCTCCGGTAATTGGCAGCGTTTAAATAAACAAAAAAAAAAAAAGCTTTTGATGTAGAGTAAATAAACCGTCGATAATCGTTTTAGGCTCGTAACGCGGAAGATAATCAGCAAGCAAAAGAGCAATCACCAACTAAAGAAAGTCAGTCGAAACAAGAAAGCCAGGCAGAACCAGAGCCCGAGCCAGAACCGGAGATACCTACTCCAGTCGATTCCGAAATACCTAATTTAGAAGAAATGCTAACCAATATTGAAAACGCCCCGGAAGAAAATCAAGTTGAACGAGCCGAAGACGTGGAAAAATCGGACGAAGAAAAAGAGTTCGTTGCTGAAACAAAAGACGATCTTGAAGACGAGCAGATAGCCGTAGCGGAAAACGCTTGCGACACTTTAAATCTTGATGTAACAGCTAGCGATGGAGTGGAATCGGAAATCTGCCAGGAGTCGTCTAGCGCTAAGAAAAGCGAACAAGAGTTAGAATTGGAACGTCAATTAGCTGATGTGCAAAAACAATTGGCCGCGTTATCAAATCTGCCAAGTACCATACAAGCCACTCTCGATGCCGTTAGCCGTCAATTGACCGATTTACTGCCAGCGATTCGACTGCAACAAGAATCTCATCAATTAGAGCAAAAAGTATCGCATCGCAGTGGTGCAGAGGGTGAGACGCGTGCAATTAATTTAGAAAAAATCGACGAAACAAATAGAGAGCAAGATGAAGTAACAATACCGAGTCAAGGTAATTAAGATTGCCACGTACGGTTATGTGTTCATTTGAGGTTAATTAATTAATTAATCGATACGTTGGGGTTCACTTGCGGTCAAATTGTGGCAACTGGTTAAAGTTAACGACTTAAATGATAAACAATGTAATACGTAGGATTCTGCAAGTTGCTTAGTATCCTTATGAATAAATTTTAATGATCTACTACTACGTCGCCCTTAGTTGGTCTTTTATTACTTTAATGTATTTGAAAGAACGCTTTTTTCAATCTGTTTACATTTTAGATATGTTGTTTTTTTTTTTTTTTTTTTTTTTGCATCGTTCTCTAAACGAATACATTAATGATGAAGAATCACAATTGACATACATACACTTATATATATATATCTACATCTGGAATACATATATATAAGTGCTTATATATCTTGCTGTTAAAAAGGCAATTTATCTAAGACAACAATGAAATGCCACAGGGAAAAGAGAATAAGTTGAAATATTTATTTTGTGTAACAAAATGAATCTGCGCGGTTTCGTCGACCTCCTTCCCCTCCTTTCCGTCAACGTTTCGCAGTTATTTATGCTGATTTTTCCATTTTTCAGATCGTGAACACGAAGCAAATAAGGATATTAAACAAAATGTCAATGTAGCTGAAAACGAGTCATTCGCTGAGTATGAGCAAAGGCAACGGCAACGGCAACAAGAAAGACAAGGGGACAATAATGCAACTGAACAAATTGCGAATAGCGATACTAATGAAGTGCGTGATACAATTGACAACAATTCAATTAAGCAACGGGAAACTAAACTCAGCCATGACGACGAAGACTATCAATTGGATGAAGAGCAGAAATTGAAAAAACAAAAGGTAAGAATTGCTTTTATGAAAAATAACCCCAATTATGGATTTGTTACAAAGTTGTTCTTTGTTAATGAGTTTTGTTTTCGGAAGTGTGTCTCTCTTAATAAAAGAAGAAAAATTACCGAGTATATAGACCCATACATGTACGTGGTTGTGCCTTTTGCTCAGGACTAGTAAACTATAGATATATGCGGAATACGGGACGTCTCTAAGATATATAATCAATTGATTAAAAAGTACTGAGGTCTTGCAGATCAACATTAAAAGCCCAATAGTTTTGTTAATTCGCTTAAATTGCAACCGGTAACGATGCTCGACGAATACTCAACTCAACTCTCTCAACCTTACTCTACACAGAATTAGTTCATTTCCGTATCCCACTTTATTCATAATCAGTTCTGACCACTTTCATGAATCCTTGTACTGATAATACAACCCGTGCGACTTGTTAATATATACATATACATATATGTCCATAGAAAAAAGTAAAAAACATTTTAGTACGTAGTAGAAGGAATTTTACATCGCTCCGTCTACAAAAATTCTTATTCTTTGTCATTGTGATAAAGTACCAAGAATTATGTCTTCTTTTCACGTGAAGGCATGCTTTTCATCGAAACCATTATGTGGAGGAGGAGGTACGAAGAACACACTGATGTGATCCAAGTTTAGCAAAATTGATTTTCTTATCGAAGATCTTTTTATTCTTCACCTATTTTTGCCATGGAGCATTGGAAATTAGTCTTCGTTATTACTCCTCATAAGACGGGCTCCTAAAAATATCCTTGGACAGTCCAAATTTGTTCTTTTTTTTGTCAAGTTACTCTTGTGGTGCAATTGTTCCCCTAAAATATTAAAAGTTAAAACATTTCCCCTTAGAAAGGCACGATTTTCGTAGGTACGATTATAAGAGAGGGGTTCAACACATTGGGCCATCTGATGCAAATTATTTCCATCATTTGAATATAACAGAATAGTATTACTTAGCTATTTCTTTCGCGAAGTTCGAAACGGTGCAATTGTTTTCATATAAAGTCAAAGGTCCTCAATGCGCCAAATCTCATGAAAATCTCTCGAAATTTTCGCAATGTGTAGATTGAACACAGAAATGGATGGACGGACAGCTTAAATTAGAAATTTAAAAGCATTCTGTACAATTAAAAAAGTTCGATTTGTCTTAAAGGCCTTGCTGAGTATTACAAGTACACCCGCACAAACTTAATATCGCTAATTTCTCGCTACTATTTTGTCGCCATTACCTTAAAGTTGAGGACTTTACCCGTATCTGCGCAACCATCAAAGTATATTCGAAACGAAATTGTAATCTGCTTCGCATGCTTGTGTGGAAAGTTCATGTGAGCTTGTGTCGCCATATCTTCCGCCTGCGTATATGCATTCCACGCATCCAACGAGAAATACATATCTATGAGCTTCAGATCGGATGTCAAATGACGTACGCAGCCATTTAGTAACAAAATGCTGACTACCTGTGGCAAGGCAGGAGTTCAATGCTTTTTTTGCACTAACTGATGTATATAATAACATTGGCGATTATAAGGAAATTGATTTTATCATAATCGGCAATCGGCTTCAACTTTTAATTAGTATCACCTAAGTGGCAATATCCGCTCATTACATGACGATAATGTTCTGCCAATGGGAACTTGTTTGCAACTTGGTTGCAACTTATTGCTACTTTTTTACTGTAAAATTCGCTGAGGCACCATCAACTGCCATTTGAAATGATCAGTTTCGCAATATAAACTGATGATTGATTTCGTCCGTGATTCATTAACATCTAATAGAAAGAAGGCATCTCGGCCACTATAGGCGAACTGAAAATCCGAATTCGATTTGAGTCGTGTTCGAGGTGCCGTTTGCATACTTCCAAGTATCACGACGAACACGAAAAATATATGGTTGTGTGGAAAGGATATATATTTTTATTTGATTAGATATTGCCAAAGTTTATTAACATCTTGAACGCTTGCTTCTGTACAGCCCAAGTGAAGTTTGAGATCCCTGGAGGAAAAAGTGTGAAATCCTAGATAATACTTCTCAAATCAAAATGAAACTTCATTATCCATAATAGAATCAGTTCTCGATAATTTAATTCATTTACCGGCCAGGCCAGTTCTTCGAATATGTTACTTTTGGCAAAGATACACGAGTTTGTCTTTGATGCCTTCGCGAACATTGCACTATTGTGTCTTTATTTCTTTTATTTCTGGCAGATTAGCAGAAGTTATTACGGGTATTATGAGACAACTTAGAATTCGCTTAACGAAAAATGCTTAAGAACTTACTGTGAGTGAAAGAAGATTTCGTTTGATAAGAAACGAAAAAATTGAATTATTTATAAACGCGCTATTGAATGCATGAATGAATGTTCCATCTTCTATAAGAATATTCGAGAAAGTTTGCACTGGCATGCTTATGTCGCTTATAAAAGGCTTTAATGGAATCTGCTTCGATATTCGTTGAAAGATTGTCAACCATCGTGGTAGTTAAGTCACGTTTATTAGCTTATATTGAGGTTTGTCATTGAAGGATAATTTGGGACAGAGGCGATAAACTTGAAACATGTTGCTATGAGATAAGTCTATTGCTCGCATCTCGTATTTTGCTAATTGCCTTCATGTGTATATATATATATATACCCGGATAGATGATAAATGTGTGTTAATTAATTGTTTAAACTCGTTAACTTAAGAAGGGTTTTTATTATATTTATCAAAAATAAAAGAAAACAAAAAAAATTATAATAATTATGTTAAAAAAATGTAAAAATTCCTAAATAAAGATCCAACATAAAGATTTTCCTTTTTTACAGCGGCACACAGTACACTTTGATATTTAAAAGCACTAAAAATTCTTTTATCACACAAACTCCTTACATAAATATTCTCAACTTTTCAACGTTAACCCACAAATTCCTCAAAATTAAATAATCCTTGTGGCTGTTTTCCTAATTTACCATCATTTTAAATATTATCTAGAAAATACAATTAGTACACAAGATCTCGTTCGTTCGTGTGTGTGTGTGTGTGTGTGTGTGTGTGTGTGTGTGTGTGCCGTGGTGTGCATATATATATATATATACGCGCGCGTGTGTGTGTGTGTGTTTGTATGTTTGTGTGTTCGTGTGTGCTTTTGTGTTTAAGTGTAACTGTATATATATGCATTCGTTTCCCTCTTTATGACTATTTTTTATGTTGATTATTTTAAATTTTCCCCTAATTTTACAAAAATGAAGACACAACAAATAAGAAGAAAACACTTAGAATACTCAGACCTGAACCAGAACAACACCTTCTCATGCGGAAATTACATAAACACATAACAAAAAAAACAAAAAAAAAAAAAAAAACGAAAAAAAAACAATAGAAAGAAGAAAAAGAAATGACAACAAATTTTTTCTTCTCTAATGTTACTCGTAATTATCATCATCAGATCTCGTATACGTTATGGCATTGTAATGCTCCTTCGCAACAGTAACAGTAAAGAAGTAAGGTAAACGATATGATTTATACAACGATGCAAACCTTTAATATAACATTAAGTAGCTAAGGCTAAGATTAATTTACAACCGTCTCAACTGCTACGATACCAGATTGCTAGCGTTACCTTCACTGAGACCGAAACTATCGACTTACAAGAGTTTATGATAAAGGAAATGGGGATGGCATGCATGCAGCTAGCATAGGCATATTAAGCAATGTCTATCGGTACCCTGAAGTTTGTGTAATTGTCGACTGCTTTCGTGTTCCAATTTTCCGCCTAACATTAAAGATATGATTTATCTGACTGCTGTAGTATGTTGGAACACATTCGACCAACGTTCTCGTACATCCTCACTAAATATCGTTTGCTTTTTGCTTTCTTTAAATTTTTCTATGCTTTGAACCTTGCGAATTGTTCTTGCAGTTGTGTCTGTAAAAAGTCATTCGTAAGAATTTAATTCCTTAAAATATTAGCAGATTAGGTCTAATCGTATTCCAATGGGCAACAAAGTCGTCATAAGGAAACGAAACATACTATAAAACGTATTCAGTTGTCTCGTAAGCGCGTTTCGATAGCTGCCTGCAAACATTCAGATAAAGCTAATCTTCTAATAGTAGTAGTAGTAGCAGTCTCAAGGTATGCAGCGTTAATTATTGTTACCGTGGTTATCGTCACACAAAATAGCTTCCATTATTGAGAAAAAAAAAAAAGAAAAGGAATAAAGAGATAGAAATTTTTAAACACTAATTTAACAAATAAACCCATATATGTACATAATCAGAGATATGAGCACACATGTCGACTTATATACCCTATATACTATATACATAGCAATGTTTGGATATAAAAATGTGTGTGTACATTGTATGTATTGTTGTAAAACAGAAACACGATGTCATTGAGGAGCTCGAAGAACATTTGGACCGTAAAAATAATCCGAAACGTTCGAAGCGCGCCTTTGGCCCATTAACGCCATCATCTGAGCGTCCACTTGTGCTGCCCGGTGGTCGACGCTGGTACCGTCCCAAGGATGCCTATAATGATGAATTTATAGCGGAAACATTAAGTGCACAAGCCGAACTTATAACTGGCACTACATTGGGGTAAATTTCTTGTCTGCTTTTCTTCTTTTTTTTACTTTTCTTTTAGTTTTACTTACACGTTAATCATTTTATAAATGCTTTAGTGAGACACCAAAAGAACATTCTTTCATATCATTTATAACTAAACGAAGTAGGAATTGCACGTTTAGTTAGTTAACTGTAAGGTCTGCATTTTCCTTTTTGTTTGTTTTCTTTTCTTCTTTTTTTGTTTTTGTTTTTTTTTTTTAGCTCTTGTTGTTTTTGCTTAATCGGCAGATGAGAGTTTACTATGAAAGAACAAACGAACAAATGAAAAATAATTAATGTATGGATATAAACGGGTCGTTTAGTAACACCCGCTAGGCTATAGACGATATTTTTTTAAAATCACTCGGCATATCATTGATATATCATATCCTATATATCACACACCATTATTATTATTATTATTATTAGTTTTTCTTTTTTGCATTTGTGAACATACCTACGGATCAATTTTACTGATTTTCGAAAATATCCCGACATAAATAAATATTTATAGATCGAGATTGTCTGCCTAGGCAAAGTGTTGAGGCGATTATGACTATGGCTAATTCCCGGGGACTATCCAAAGCATGTTTATTTTGCATATTTAATCTATCCATTATAATGGGTATAAATAAGAAGAAGAAAGCCCTTTGGAAGCACTTTATTTAAGACAAACTGCTACCATATATATGCTGGATAATTAGTTAGAATATGCCTTTTAGAATGTTTCATAAGATAGACAGACAGACGTCCATGTACTTGGACTGAGTTTGTGAAAATTGAAGTTACAAAGTGAGTGAGAATAAACAAATTATTTAATTTCCTCGTTAATATGATAATCAATCGTATATTCGATGTGTAAAAGCGAATTTCTCTTATTTCATATTTGATTGCACATATATAAATATCGTGTGTGTTCTTCATCAAATACTCTTTTGCGTATGCTCATCTTGCTTGTTTCATCTGCACATCAATCATCAACCGAAAGGTCTAGCTTTGAAAGTCCACACTTGGGCTACGATATAAGGTACATACTTCAATCTCATTCTCTCTTTCTCTTTCTCTCTCTCTCTCTCTCTCTCTCTCTCTTTCCCCCCCCTCCTTCCTTATTATTTCTTTCTCTCTTTTGTGCTCATGCTTTATATCATTATCACAATTGTATTCATTAATATGTAATTGAAGTATTTGTGAAGCGTTTTGCTGTTTTTCTCGTTTCAGTTATTTATTTTTCGTACATCATTTATAAACATTTTCTCTCTTTGTCTTTCTATCTATCTATCTATCTCTCTGTGTGTGTGTGTGTGTGTGTGTGTGTGTGTTCATCACGCTAGCTGTTCACATATGCTGCGGCTTCATAGTTACTGTATGCACGCATACCGATGTACCTCTGCTTCTTCATATATCTTTTTGGACTTCCTTGTCTCTTGATATTATTTTTGAAATGCTTGCTGATTTTCCTGTTAATATGAATATTTTCTTACTCGCATTCTTTGCAAAAAGGAATTTTTTTTCTTTTTCCTTTATTTTGTATTTAAAAAATATATATTGCATGTGTGCACATTCCTTCGTTTCGTTCGATTTGCTGAGAAAAGAGGGAGAAATCTTATAATAATTGTTGTTGTAGTTGTTGCTCTTCTTACCGTTGATATCACATTATATTCTTTTCTTTATTTTTCTTTCGCTTTTCTACAAACGCTCACACATCAAGTGTTTTCATACTTCATTTTCAAACAAACAAACATCCACACACACATACACACACACACACACACACACACATACACAAACACACACACACATACACATACACATACACATACACACTCCTACACACTCCATACATACAATTACTTACTAAGTTACTACTCATATGGAGTTCATATGCTTACTTGCTATATATATATATATTGCTTTTACTTTTCAACGTTCCTTCATTGGTTTTCTGTATTTTCTTTTTCTTACTTACAATAGACATACAGACATACAAAAATACATTTCACTACATTTATACACATTGTCAATTTCATTTTCATACCCTCATCATCCACATTACCCACATATCTACATACATATATGTACATAGATCTGCAATTTCATTTATTTGATTAATATTTCGTTTCAATGCAGATTTTTCTGGTATTTCTCTTTTCCTATTTTCTTTTTTTGTTTTTTCTTTTTTTTGTGTTTCTCTCCTTTCACGCACTTCTCATGTTCATAATGCTTGCATGTACTGTGTCGATATGTTATGTTTATATGTGTGAGCGTGTGGGCGTGTGTGCGTGTGTGCGTGTGTGCGTGTGTGCGTGTGTGCGTTCTTGTGGGCATTTATGTGTGCGTTTGTTGATATCTTTCATTTCGTATTGTTTTTGTTGTAGATTGAACTGTGGAATCGTTTATTTAATGGTGAAAATATATCTCGTACCGTCTTCCGGTAAGTAATAAAATTATCGATTTCCTTTCCTTACGAAAATGTCATTTTAATGGAAATTGAAGAACGGAAATCAGAAAGAGCTAAACAACTGAAACTAATTCTTACATAAATCCCGAGAAGAGTTATCACAATAATACAAAAAGCAGACCAAGCTAACTGAATTTTCCATTTTCTTAGTACAAAATTCTTTTTCATACCCACCACTGAAGGACGAGAAAGGTACATCCATGCTGTCATAATGTTTGCAAAATCCAAGAACCGATAAAGTATATATATATATATATATATATATATATATATTCTTGATCAGCATGAAATTCTAAATTGCTTAAGCTATGTCTTTGTGTCTGTGCGATGTGTATATAGTATGTAGTGGTTGACAGTCTCCTGGTTGCAAAAATGGATATATCGACTTTAAATTTGGTATAAACAACGGAAGTCTTTGCAGCCAGGTAGGGCCAGGTTGCGTAAGTAAGAAACGTGAACTGAACGCAACTGGTTTTTTTTAAGCGAAACTTTTGCGGTTGTATAAGAGATAGAAGGATGAAATTTTCCCCAGTTACTTAACGAAAAGCTCTATCGTATTTATGTGCAAAAATGGAAAAAATCGGCAACGCCCACACCCTTTCTACACTTTCTTGAGGCTTTATGCAAACAACACGAATTATTTAACTTTGTTTTATTAAGATATATTATCTGCGTGAAAATGCGTTGATTCTAAAATAAATATTGCGGCGTCCACGACTGGGTAGATTAGTTTTTTTCTTAATAATACCAACGATATGGATATTGAATGAAGGGATTTGGAACTTGGAAGGATTTCAAACTATGTTAGTTAACTAATGGTGGACACCACAATGCGGAAGCTTAGCCTTTCCTTAAGAATATCCTTTACTGAAGTAGAAGGTGAAAGATACTTTTTATCCCATTCACTTTTTTATGGCAATAATTGAAAATATGCCATGGCAGAGATATTAATGGTGGGGGCTATGCAAGATTCGGTCCCTGCCGAACAAACTTTTATATACACGCAATATAACATTTTTAAGACAATTAAGAAACAACTAAGGAAACATGAGTTTCATTAAATATTTTAGAAATTATCAGAGAGTCGCTGTGACCAAGCAGTTCGAAAATCAAAGGTTTGTATATATTAACTTAAATGAAGAAGAATCAATTTTTTTTGACATTGAATTGAGAAACAAGCGCAGAATTATCTGTTCAAAATTTTAAAATATAAGCTTAACACTTCGAGCTCCTCGACTCGTCGCAATTGAAAATTCAAATTTCATTTCCATCAATTGCAGTTGAAAGACAAAAACGAATATAAGAGATATAAGAGACGCCCCACCTCAGCCTAACATAATGAACTAATAAGAAATATCCGGTAATTAGATAAAATTATGCGAAACGGGCGCAAATGTTCACATTGAGGGTTGGGTAAATCGACTTTTCAATGCACGAATTGCTTATGACAATTGTTAACATGTTGTGAGTACGATATAAGCGAGTCACGCCCATTTACGAATATGATTTATGGCCATTAATGAAAACTGTGCATATGTCTTCAGTTGCAAGTTTCTGCCAGAGTTTTGTCGACAAACGGACTTATGAAGAAACGTGCCAACGCACAAAGATAAGTTGACTTTTTGTGGATCCTCTAATGCGTAAGTTTTGGCCGAACAAAGGCAGGTACACATCTAGTTAACGTTCTTGCTTCATTAATGAATGCCCCATAGGAGCGAACCTTTTCAATTATCATGCGTCATTGGTGTGTTTCAAAGGGACCGATCGCGTCTATTTGCTGGCAATTTTAAATCAACTAAACTTTACTTAAACATGTGGTTTTGTTTTTTTGTTTTCACTTTTCCGAAAAATATCATAAACGTGAATATAACGAATGACAAGGCAAAAAACGGATATATTTAATTCGATTACGTTATTCGTTCTAATCGCGAGCATACTGTGCATACTTGGCAGTGTATTCGTTGCATGCGTATGTATTTCGTATAAAAAGTTAGCTTAGCTCTATGATGTATAAAAAGGAAATGTGATGTTGACTTGGAAAATAACGGTGTTTTACATTTTATGACCAAAAAGAGGGAATTGATGTTAGAAGAAAGCGGAAATTTAAATTTTCAATTAAAAAGGATAGAGTTTCGATGCGAATGACAAAGGATTTAATCAATATCCATTTATTTATGTTAACACAAATAACCGCATATATATATATATATATATGTATATATGAAATAGAAAAGTAAATCCACAAAAGAATAAATAACAACCACAAAAGCATCAGAGAATAAACATAACAGGTATAAATGCATGTTCATCATTGCATGTAAATTTATGTGCATTTTGATTGTGTAAAAAATGAAAGAGAAAAGAAAGAAAAACTACACAGAATTATTTTCAATTTCGAATGTTATCCCTTTTTGTATGCTATTTTCTATTTTTCATTATATATAAGTATATATATATATATATATATATATAGTTTTTTGCTCTTTTTTTTTTTCTTTTTTATTATCGTCTCTAAAAACAGCAACAATTCAATCAGAGAATGAATAGTTATTCATATGATAAACATCATGTGTGCGTGTGTGTGTGTGTATATGTATATGAATGCGTATCGTGTACACTAAAATATGTGCACGGATTAGTATACGTATGTACGTATATATGCATGTATGTATGTATATGTGTGCCTGGTTGTGGGCGCCTTTTAAATAGTCATTTATATATTGTTGTTGTTGTTGTTGTTGTTGTTATATGTTCCTATGAAACACATCTTGTGAATATTTTATATCTAATTTATGCCGTCGCATATAGTTACAGATATTTTTTTACTTTTAATAATTTTGTTAAAACTTCTTTAAAAGAGAAAATAAATTGCATTTTTTTTCTTTTTGTTTTTGTTTTTTTTTTTTGTTTTTCGGCCCCTTTTAAAAACTATCAATTTCACTACAACGTACGAACTGGGACAACTAATGCAATACCGACAACGTTGCTGTACATAAATACGTACGTAAATGCAGAGTCAATTTTATGAAGTATCAGAAGCCAGAAAGGAAAATCGACTTGAATAGAAGCGAAGTTTACAAAGTAATTCATCATTTGGATCGACAGCCAGTGCGCGGCATTGAAGTACGGCCACCCGTTGTGCCAGCTGAGGCGGATGTAAGAAAGGCGGTGCATTCTTAGAAACCAACGCTCATATATACATACAAATATAACAACATTCACTATTATTTTTGTATGTGCATTAGTTTGATATATATATATATATATGTATATATATATATATTATCTACATATATAATATATATATACTACGAAATGAATGATTGTGTACATACTTGACTTGAAACGTTTGCCTGGATGAGCTGGTTTTGGTGTTGGCCGTTGGTATTAGTTGGCAGTTTGTTCTTCTTTTAATTTCGCCAAGCTGCCGTGAAACGAAGAAAAAAGGAGCAACAGCAACAGCAATAGCAATAAAAAGAAAAACTAATAACACTCTACATACATATGTATGTGTGTTGTCATCGTATTTTACTTTGCTTTATACATATATAGGTGCTACTATACCTAAGGTTCATTTCTAGTTGAAATGCCTCTTTACTCTGTTCTTCTACTGCCACTTTCTTCCCCTTTCTAACTGCCTCCTCCCTACCCATCTTCCACTCCATCACCAAACAGCCTTCTTAACCGATTTTGAATATATTTCAATAAAAAATTTTAAAATGCCACACAATTCTACAGATCGTTTATATATATATATATAAATATATATATATATATATATATATTTTATATATACATATAAACCGTGCGCGTGTTTGTGTGCGTGTAAATATAGTACACAAATTGTTAGATTTCTGTAAAGCACAGAGTATCAAAAGCATTATAATTTTTTTCTTTTTCCTTTTTTTTTTAATTTTCATTTCACAATTGTTGGCAATAAAATGAGTCTGGTAAGAGGAAAAAAAGACAAAAGAATAATAGAAAAAAAGAAAAAAAAGAAAAAAAAAATTATAATAATAATAATAAAAAATATATAGCAGAAAATGAAAAGAAAGAATGAGATCCTGTTTGCGTTTGTAACATATTCACGTAAACACGTGTATATATAGCTTCTATGATTGTGTAGGTTTAAGTGCATAAATGGTGCTCAGACTGCCTACGTCGAGTATTTGTAATATATCAAAATGTTGCCATAGTTCAAATGCCATTGTAACCGCATTGAATATGGCGGGAAGGCGTACATTTCTGGATGATATGACCTACTATTGGCGCCGGTATAACAATGTTATATGTTGGTTTTGTCTACAAAGAAGTAAGAAGTCAACTTTTATTCACCTTGGAAAAATCATCTTGGATATATATGCGTTTGTTATTGCCATTACACGAACTTCGAAGCATTTACTTAGCTCTGGCAAAAGAAAAACAAATATATATATATATGTATATATATATGTGAGAACTTGTGATCGTTTCCATTGCGCTCTCTATTGCCACTACGTGTAGCAATAACCGAAATTTTCAAGACTACGACAACAAAGATAAATAAATCACCGAAAATTGTTTCAAGATTTTATGAACATTCAATTATGTAAATTTGATATGCGAATCGTATTTCTGGTTGTTATGAACACTATATAATAAATTAGTAGATCTCTGATGTCAAATGCAGAGAAAGTTCCCTTAGTTTTGTTTTATTACAAATTCATCATCATCATCATCATCATCATCATCATCATCATCATCATTATCATCATTATCATCATCATCGCCGTTCACTAACGGAACAAATAAAAATTCTTTTAAATTTGCTCGCTACGTAGCCCGCTGCTGTATTTGAAATTTGAAATGTTAGACGAATACCAATAATTTTCCATTATTTGCAATTGACACAATAATAAACTTCATCTTTGTCGTGTCAAAATCGTATTTAGCTCATTGAATTCTTTGAATAAGAGACGAAGCTCGGTGGCTCATCTCATAAGCACACAATAGTGTACGCTGGTAAATGTCATGCTTGAAAATTGACAATGTCCTTTTATGTATGTAGGAGTACGACCGCCCGCGCTCATTTCTCTTTAGAGTTGTGTGTTACTTTGCTTCAGGTTAATTCGCGTGGATTCCCATCGTGCACGTGCAAGCGCACCCTAACGAACTGTGCAAAAATTTTGAAGAAGATTGAAAACTGCACTCAATACCTTCCTTATGCGACTCAATAAATGTCTATAAAAACAAAAGAAAAGCGAAATTAATTTTTCGTTTTTTCGGTATCGGTGTGTTTATGCTAGTAATTTCCAATTTGATTGACTCTCTACAGAAAATATTCAACGTTCAAGTGGAAATTGCAATAACTCTAGCATAGCAATATACATACATATATATATTAATATCGCGCGCGCACATTTACATAATAAACGATGCGATGCCTTTGTTAATGTGAGTGAGAGAGTATCCGGGTATTAATATGTGCATATTAAATTGTTATAGGTTTGAATGACGTTTTTCAAAGTGAATGTTTTGAATAAGAATTAAATCTAATTTGAAAAATATATATTCATATATATATATATATATATATATATATATACATCTGCCATACGAATGAATGATAATTAATTAAATTTTCTTAATTGCTTTCTCAATATATCCCCTATTGGCGGTAATACACACATATATATAAACATATGTATATGTATATATATATATATATATATATATATATATATACGTATACATACCTCTACTTGCATATTCAGAGGAGGATAAGCAAAAACATTAAATATATAAATGTATATGTATGTATATAATATATATACATACATATATATGTATATATATATATAAATATATATGAAGCACTCTCTCATAGTGAACCATATACACTTGCTTTGCGGGTTGGTTTACTCTACTCTACTGACTGTACTGTTCGCCTCTTTGTTTTTTGTTTTCTCTGTATGAAACTCTATATATTTGAAAAGTTCGCTTGTTAACAAATAGCCTTCGGCTATCGCAAAACAACTATTCTCTGTTCGTTTACTTTTAACGGAGACTTTCGCTCAGATGCATATGTATATGGCTATGTGTTTTTTATAATTTTTTGTTTTTGTTTTTTTTTTTTTGTTTTTCCTTTTTTTCTCCCCAATATATGTGCATTTGGTTATACATAAAGTTTTCTGTATTGAATCAACAAAGCAGCAGCAGCAGCAGCAGCAGCAGTAGCAGCAACAACAGCAGCAGCGGTATTACGAAGCTGCACAACAGCGCCTACACATATAATGCATCAGAAGAGTAAAGTTTTTGGAAATATGCCATGAATAAAATAAACGTATAAGCTTTGTAAACACATGTACAAGCACATTAAACTATCAAACTCATACTCGGACTACTTATTTTTGCTTTTGTTGTTGTTATTGTTTTCATTGTAAATACCCCAAAAGTTAGTTTAGCAAAAAGTTTATATTTTTTTAACTCTTACTCTGTTTACAATATTTTTCTCTTTTCGTTTTTCGAAGATGTAAAAGAAAGGGGATAGTAATAGATGCGAAAAGAAAAGCATTGGGTCGAGGGAAATCGGACGACAGGACATTATTGGAAGAGTGGGATCCATTTTAATTACGATACACATGTAGAAGAACAATAACAATAACAATAACAATAACAAATAACTAAAACTAAACAAAATAATGGATTGGATGAAAACCATTGACGTCACAAGACTTCCTAACCGGGACAAATTCGGTTTTTCCATACTATCTAAAAATATTCTAGCAACTAATCCAAATATTATCTGATGAACTGTGGCAAATATTCTTAAATAAGCAACGTATAATTTCGATTGCGTTGATTAAGGTCGAAAGTAGGTAGATTTTCATCTTAAGGTCTTTTATCTAAGTTTTTACTACCCACGATCTAAACTTCTTCACTAACATTTCGTTCTCTTTCTTCTCTCTCTCTCTCTCTCTCTCTCTCTCTCTCTCTCTCTCTCTCTTCCTTATTTGCATTTGTATGCGTATTGTACGTTTGATTCTACGTTCTATGGTCAACAAGTAACGAGCTTCATGAAGCTTTATCAATAAAAAGGTGCTGTCTTTCCTCGCGACAATGTCACACTACACACCTTTTTGATGACTTGGCATGTTTGCCACACAGGCTGTTAACAGGCTAACAGCTATAAATTATTGGTTTTCTCGAAGATGCTCATAAAGATTAACGCAGTATTTAAAACATATTTATTGCAAGCAATCTCTACGTAGAGGTCTTTGCTGAAATCAAAAAAAAAAAAAAACTCTGCTACTAATGATGAGAAATGGCAAAGATTTCACTCAACTTTGGCAAGCTTGCTAGAGGATTTTGCCCAGATATCTGTTCGAATTTTATGCACAAAACTAGAACATATGTGCGATGAAGTCAACTCTTTCCTTTGGCTAACCAATCTCTTGTCTTTATCATTGTTTTTTAACGTTCAGAGCCGTTGATATCGAAAGAACTTTCACTTTATGAGCTTTTTTGAATGCTTTAAATTACTTATGTCTTTTTTCCTTGCCACACATAATTTGTTACAAATTTTTTTTTTTAATATTTGCTTGAGGATTCCGTTCAAGAAATTTAAATCTTAGATTTAAGGCGAAGGTTTTACTGCATTAATGTTTTCATCATAAAAACCACGGAGTAACTAAGACTTTCGTGGTTTAAACCGATAGTCCTTAACTAAGTCATTGAGATTGTGACCATATCTAGCGCGTTAAGTGAGCGTAGTGCGGTTCGTGTGGGCACAATGGTAGTTAGGAAGGATTATTGATAGACGAAGGAAGAAAGAGGAAGTGGTGCCTGAAACAAAGAATATTGGTGACGACATATATGTAGTACTTAGCAAACTTCGATCTACGAATCCAACACTATATGCGAAGGTTTCCCTAAACGCAGCTTCTAAGGGGTTCTATGTTAAATATTAGAAGTATATATATGTATATATATATATATATATATATATTTAGAATACACGTAACGCAATGTACTAGGTTTACATGCTTTTTTGATCTTCCAAAACATTTTTGTTTGTATTTACTGTCTTTTCAGATAGATTTAAAACAGTTGATAAAATAATGATAAATAAATGTTTTTTAAAAATTTTAAAAATTTTGCAATAAATTTTTCTTATCTATCGTAATGCAATATGCATTATACGCAATGTATTTAATATATGCAAATTAACGTAATTGGACCGGGCATATATAAGGAAGAGTGATTTTAAATAGAGCCATCAATCGAATCAATTAATCACTTAAGAGAAATAAATAACTAATTAATTCATTAAATGTATTTTAAATGTAAAAGTATTGGAATATTGGGAAACGTTCGGCAATCTGAATGGCGTAGCAATGTTTTCAGAGATCATCAGAAAGTCGCATCAGACAAGTGTAATATAATGTAAGCATTGAATGGTAAGCATTCCAAATTGTCTGAAGCAGACAAGCAGC